GAGGACCCTCCTGCTGGCCAAACCAGTGACCACTGCAGGGGCTGGCTGGCCATGTGCACCAATGAGGGGATTCCCTTTGTCATTTATCTTGCTCAGTTCAGTCTTTTTATTTAACAAGCATGTAGAAAAACATAATTTGGTGGCAGACCACTTGGATTCCAGTTTCAGATCTTTGCCCCTCATTATAGAGGTTCATGCTTGGGAGAAGTCACATGACCACACACCTAATAGCGTGTCTTTCTTAAAATGAGCATCTACTATCACATAATACATTCGACTTGTAAAAACACTGAGGAAATGATCAAGTGTGACATAAGCACAATTATTCATTGTAAGAGGGAATCTTTAGCATTTCCTTCTCTTTCAAATGTGCCTCTGTTCATTGGGCTGAGTGAAGCTCCATTTGAAAGGGGGCTTAGAGTTAAGATAAAAATATATCTTCAGGCCAGTCCTATCGCCTTCACAAAACAAACAGGATTGAAAATTATTTTGGTTTCTGAGGGTACCCTTGGTTTTGCAGGCTACTCACCCACATTCAGATGACAGTTTGCAGAAGGATGTCTGTATTAGAAACCCTACTGAAAAGGACGTTTGTCCTGAGCAGGTAGTATCTTCCTTGTTTTTGTCTTCTGTCTCTTTTAGCTGACTGACAGAAAAGACATCTTGCACTAATGTGAATAGGGAATCACTATTGGCAAAATCAAGGATCAAGGTTCTGTTTGCAGACATTTTGTCAAATAAACACATCTGTTGGGCCTGAAGCCTCCTTGGTTTATTAGCGCAATTGTTTACTGTAAGTAAGCAACAAGGTGTTTAAATTTCACACATGTGAAATACGTATTACGTTTCCTAGCAGGGGACAAGACTCAGTCAATAATTTTCCCAGTAACACAGTTCTCAGTTTCAGAGCTTTGCCAAACCAAAAAGATGTTGCAAGTTGGACCTCATTAGTGAGCACACTTGCTGGTGGTTCCTTGTTTAAATCCATTCCTCAGTTTTTTTCTTGAGCTTTAACAGATGCACCACCTGGCTCAGCCACAGACTGATTAGAAAAAGGGACTGTAGCAGGCAGCAGTCCCCTGGAATTACAAGCTCCTGAAGCAAAGCTTGGTGATGGGTTAAAGCTTGAGCTATGGAATCAACCATAGCCAGAGTCCACTGTTTACTGGCTGGTGACCTTGGGCAGTTCATTTAACCTCCTCAATCTTATATTCCTCCCCTAGCAAATGAAGTTACAAAAGCACCCACTTTACACTTTTTAGGACTTAAATGAGATCATCTAGTTAAAGTGTTAGTTACTATCATCATTTGTTGTATAACTCATTCAACCTACTGATGAATTACAGATTTGGGATGAAATCTACTGGGATTACATATTCAAATTCTTAAAACACTTCCAATGTACCCTGTTCCAATATTGGGGGCCAGGGAGAAAGTACCTTCTTAATTTCCCAGACTTCAACCCTAGAAAACAATCTGTGTACATAATTCTTTGCACATTCCTGGTATAATTCTTTGCACATTGTAGTAGACATTTTATAAAAGGTCTGGGAGGAAAAAAAAAAAAGAGTTCATGTTTCATTGCAGTTTTACAGAGAAAACATAGGCTTAAAGAGAGCAACTTGCTCAAAGTTTAAGAAAGAAGAATGTTAGTTTTGGATACGCCTTCTTGACTTAAACCAAATTTTATTTTCTGTTTAATCACATGGACGCCATTATCTTCAGTAAATGTTTGCTTAGGAAACTCAGGCAAAGGAAAATCCCTCCAGAGAGCTGCCTGGTCAGCAGGTGCTTTCCACATTGCTTAACTGCGGAGCTCTCTGAGTCAGATTCTCTGACATTGAATCAACAGTGGCTCTCGGCCCAGGCAGCACTTTAGAACATCGCTGGGAGCCTTAGAAATGCCCCAGCCCAGCCCCACTCTGCAAGATTCTGCTTTTTAGTCTGGATGGGCTCCAGGCATCAGATTCCTAGAACCTATCCAAGTGATTCTAGAGAGAGTTCTAGCCTAGTTCTTCCCCCACAGCCTTCCATGAGTCTACGCTTTCTATATATGTACAGATTCCAGCATGTTAAAATTCTGTCTCCTTTTGTGACTTCCATTTAAAAGGGGGACATATTTTAACTTTGGAAAATTATGAAACACAATAGGAATTAACCAATTTGCTCTTCTGAAACATATAAACACTTGATTTTACAGAAGACTTGCCAGAATATCTGTGTTTGAGATACTGTTGGAGTGGCAATAACAGCTTTTTCAATTTACACAATCAAATCAATTCCCTGTTTCTTTTTTTTCTCTAAATTCACTTAACACAATGAATCCTGACCAGGTGACTCATCTGTTTGAAATATGCAAAGTAAATTTATATATAAATTCCATATTTTGTAATAACGACACCATAAAGGACGTAGAGAGGCAATAAAAATAACAACAGCAAAAGCAATAACGATGGCCTTGTTCATCATGCTGGGCCGTCTTTGGATCAGGGTCTGTCTGTTGGGGCCATGTGCCCCTGCATGTCACAGGTTCAAAATGAGTGGTGCTCAAGCCTGCTGAGCTATGAAATTTAAATGAAAGCCTGTGTACCCTAATGCTTATGTGTTACATTGTTTTAGTTGAATATTCAGATAATTCATGTGGTACCCGCTGCAGATCCCGTGCTGGTGTACCAGTCATTTCATATAATAACTCTGACCATATGTGGTAATTGAGAGAGAGATACATATAAACAGTCCTTATGCGCCTCTAAAGGAAACGCGAAGATCCCATACTAGAACACATGAGGAAAGTTAGCATGTAACACCCGTCCCCCCCACATCGTTCTCTCTCCAATTTTCTACCTCACAGCAAGGCCCCTTCGGTCCCTCTGGTTCACTCTTGGAAGGTCTTCTACATTCTCGTCTTCAGAACATTAATAATTCACTTGGCCGTGCTTTTACGATACCTTTAGAGTATTTTGCACCAAGGAATTGTTTATGTGCTTGCCATGAGTTATTTCCTTTTGCAAATGTCGTCGCTTGCAACTCACCACTAGTAGAAAGCCTCACCTGGCTAAGAGGAATGTGGTCCTGTTGGTCTCTGGCTGTGTCTTTTGATGACATATCAGAAGCCATATACGTATAGGCAGGTAGTGACGTCCTGTGCGTGACAGCATACATCGGAATGTCCCTCTCACTTCTCTGACCTAAACACCTAGGGTCTTTGAACATGCTCTTCCACCTGCCTGGGATATATTTGCTTCTACCAGCAATCCCTTCATCTAATTCTTTTCAGAACTCTGCTCGGTTGTTTTTGTTCATGGAAACTTTCTCCAGTCTTCCTCTGTTCCCTGATTTATTTGTTCTTATAGGATTTCTCCGAAGTTTCACTTTTACACTTATTGTAGTGACCATTTGATGGTTCTATTATCTGTCTCTCTCGGAAGGCTATAACTCTCTGACCCACAAACTCAGGGTCTGCGTTTGCTTTTGTTTATCAAATGTATTTCTAGCTCTGAGTACAGTGCCCGGATCCAATAGGTGTCCAATTATTGAACGAGTGGATGATTAAGAAACTGTGCTTTCTCTTTGAAACATAGCTACAGTTCCACTTCACTCAAGAGTTTTACAATACTTAATTTTTTAAAGCTAATGTTTTATGAAATACTCTCAAAAATTAAAAATTAATGATTTAAGGAGAGTGATTGATTGTCTAAAATAATGGATTTTACTAAAAATATTTCTTATTCAACTAAATTTGAAAAAGTTAATCTCACCATGTTAATATAGCAACTATTTCCATTTCATCAAAGGACACTGTCCTTAAGCTGAGTTGATGCTAGAACTTGGGTATTTAGTTCTAAATTTCTTTAGATTTTTTGCTTTGGGTTTTGTTTGTTTGTTTTTGGTTTTGTTTCTATTTCTCTGTGTGATGATAGGCTGGTTCCTAAACTCTGGCTGGAAGTCAGGTCTATGAGAAATAGCCTTTTATTACCTGGTATCTGAAAAACCAACGCTCTCTAGAGGCGAGAGTGAGCTGCACCAGTCTCACAAAATAGCCTCAGGCTTGGCTACCTGTCCTGCTAAGCAGCACTTAAACTGCTCTTTCAGCCTCCTAGGCTACATGCCCATCCCCCTTACAGTGTGCCCCGCATCCATTAGTTGTGAATTTACCCCCCACCACCCCCCTCCCACCTGACTGGCACCCAGTGAAAATTACTACCCTTTGAGCACCTTAGTGTAGATCAGTTAGTACCAATTTGATGGCGAATCCATGTTTTTCCATCCTTGTGATACCTCGCTTCAAAGGAAGGGCTTTATCCAGGATAATATAAGAGGTGCTAGTTCACCATTGTTTTTTGTAGTTGAATAGAACTCCATGGTATACATATATTACATTTTATTAATCCACTCATGTATTGATGGGCCCTTGGGTTGTTTCCAAATCTTTGCAATTGTGAATTGTGCTGCCATAAACATTCTAGTGCAGATGTCTTTATTATAGAATGCCTTTTATTCCTTTGGGTAGATGCCTAATAGTGTGCTATTGCTGGATCAAATGGTATTTCTATTTTTAGCTCTTTGAGATATCTCTTAATTACTTCTTAAAACCACCTCAGTCACTACTGTGATTCAATGCCTCTTACCTAAGATTAGGGTAAAATGTGCAAATTTGTGCAAAATAGTTGTATTAATGTAGTGAGCAATTAAAGTTTCTCCCTTATTAATGTTGCATGGTTTTTCCAATAATTTTAAATCAATTGATTAGTATTAGCCTTAGACAAAAAAGAAAAGAAAATTGGAAAGAACTCACTTCACGGATCAGGAGGTTAGCATGGTTTCTTAGTGGAAAGTCCTGGTGGAAACACTGAGGCAGTTCCCTAATAGGTTTGGTTGAGCCAAGCACCTGTTGACAAAGGATTAAAAGTGGATGCATATATTTTGGTATCACTGGATGCCTTGTAATAGCAAACTGGATGGTCATGCATGTTTTATTCTCTCTCTGTTGTGTTTTCCAGAGGGATAACCAATTGGCTGACGGAGTCACAAATGAAAAGTAACCTGACTCTATCGACCCGCTTAACCCCGCGCGGGGGCAACGATGGAAAGGAGCAGCCGTTTGCTCTGAAAGAGTGGAACAGGTATGGAACAGCTCCCTCCACCCCTGCCTTCTTTTGTTTCTGTGCACTTCTATTTCCAGACCAGCTGAAAACAGCAAATTGTTCCCGTTTGAGAATCGGAGTTATAGGAACAGGTACAGTGGGTTATTTGTAATGTTTCTGAGTTACCCATCTCTAGGATAACTTGTTTATAGAAGTGCTCATGCAATTAAGAGACAATTATGTTCAAATAGCAAATAAGTAATCATGTTAGGGAGAGTTGTTACTTTTAAACATAGGACTAGCATTTTGGATGTTTGTTTAGCTTTAAGATTCATCATTTGGATTATGTGGATTTTTGCCTCACTAAATAGATTTCTATGGAGGAATCGGAAGTAATGACAAAATGATAACACATGTTGGTTTCTCCAGTGACAGCCATTGACCGTGTTTTTGGTGTGTTTAATGATCTAATCTCCTCTGCTCACATCTATTTTCTTAGTCACGAAGGGACGCTGCCAAGAAAGGCATAGTTTGACTTTTTCCATTTTTCAAAATTCACAAACAGATATAGGTGAAGTTTCTTTCACTTTGAAAACTGTGTTTCAACCTGAAAATTTTCAAGCAGCACTCTTAGGAACCCTGGAGTTAAAAACCTTAAAAATGTGTGTTTATTTTTAGTCAATGCGCATGTCATTGGGGTGCTGTGCCTTTGTTCAATTCTATCTATTATTGAGAAATGGGTGAGCAATATGGGGTTTGCTAGTGGCTGTATAGAGGTGAATGCTTTAAGAAATTCTGACATTAATGGCCTTGTAAGGCAGCTAGAAAGTAATTTTAAGTTCAGAAGATTAAGTATCATGTACTGGATGATCAAAATTAAATTAGTTAATGACTTTGCATGACAACATTTTTCCCCATTTGGATGGCTTAGAGATGAGGGACTATGAATAAATAATAAAGACTTGAAATTTGCATAGGAATATTAGAATTCAAAAGGTTACAGGAAAAGAATTTATAAAAATTGCATTTTACATAAGGAGTTAAATAAGGTTATGACTCCATTATGTAGTTTAAGATTATTTGGGAAGAGTTTTTAGAGAATATTTTGACAACTACTCTGTAGTTAGTATGTTCTCAGGGCATAATATCTTTATTTTCACACATTCAGGGTTTCAATGTTTTACACACTATTGAATCTGAAACTAAATGTCATCAAAATCAATAATACATGAAGAGTCTGGTTTCTAGCTCAGCAAGGGGACAGAAAAAGTAGGGTGTTGGTGCTGCTTGGTTCACAAAGCAGCCTCACAGTCTTTTAGTTCCTTCATGTTTCAGTCTATACAGTCAGCCAACTACTAACCACACTGACCAACTCTCTTTTCCTTGCATTCCAATATAATGCAAATGGGCTTTTCAGAAAATTCCTTGAGGAAATCTTTTGGCAATAAGGCAAAGAAGATGAAACAGACAATAAACTCTCTCCACCACCCATTCTGAATACTGATCCATCCACACCATTTAGCAGGTTTCATTTATTGGGAATAGATTATAATATGATTAGATTTCTAAATGAAGTGATAATTTGAAAGGATACATAAAGCAAAGGAATAGCTAGTGTCTTCCTGGGTGTGAGTTTCTATGTATGAAACTGTTTGAGAAACGGAAATGCCTTTCCATTTTCGGTTGGAAAGAGGAGTGTGGAGAGGCATGGGCCTGGGGCAGAGAAAGGAGAGTCCTGGGCGAAACCATGGCTGTTCCCGGGAAGGGGTTGGGGGAGCCCCTGCCAGAGCTGTCTCCCTTGTTCCACACCAGGGATAATTTTGAGGATGCAACCTTGGAAGATAACTTTCACAAAAGCTGCCAGAGGGCTTTGCAGGTTCCTTGGAGCTGCTTTACACTGAAAAGGATACAGTCTATACAGTCAGCCCAACTACTAACCACACTGACCAACTATCTTTTCTTTGCATTCCAATATAATGCAAAGGGGCTTTTAAGAAAATTCCTTGAGGACCAGGTCCAGGCACCCTAACCTCTAGGAACCTCGGTGTCTTCCTCCGTGAAAAGCATGAATACTAACAGCTATGCTGGTTTGCTCACTGGTGTACCTGGTAAAAATGGTACCCAATGCCAAATCTAATGTGTCCCCTTCCCACTTAGTGTCCCTATCACCACCTATGCCCACACCACTAATGTGTCCCCATCACCACCTAGTCAGTAGGGAAAATGAGCAAGAACCAGGGGTTTTGGAATGGAGTAGAAAGAGTGTTTTTTTCATAGGAGGTAAGAGGAAGTTTACCAAAGATTAGAAGACCACAGGGCTATGGGTGATTTGGCGTCCATAGCCCTAAGAGTAGCTACAGGGCTTTCTAGAGATGCCACAGGTAGTTTTGACCCAACGGCCAGGAATCTTCTTTCCTATATGGGTTATAAACTGGGCTGCTAGCAGGAGCTCTTAAATTCTCCTGTAAGCCATGCGTTCCTCTACTTCCAACTCCCTCTTTCTTGACTCTCACCTTGGGGAGCCCCCCTTAGTCCACATGCATGCTCAGTAGCTGCGCTGAGGGAGAAAACTTGTGGTCATAGCCCTTAGAGCTCATTGTGCCCTCCTGTGGCCTCTCACTCTGAACCCTCCTGCCTGGCCCCTCAAGGCCTGCCGCCAGATACAGTGCAAGGCTGCCTGGGCTCAGTGTCACCACTATTCAGAGTTCTTGTGAGGATGAAATGAGACACTGGTGGGGCAAAATTATTTGTAAATTGTAAAGCGCCTACAAATTTCAAGTATTATTCAGTATGGCACACTAGCAAGAATATAAGCTTTAGAATCAGACAGCTCTGAATGTAAGACTCACCTGTGAGCCTGGGCAAGCTACTTTAATTTCGTCAGACTCAGTTTCCTCACCCATACAATGGGATGGCAAAGCGGAGGCGTATATGCTTGCTATCACTTGGGGCCACCAGCCATTTGTCTTCTAAGAGGCTTCATAAGGTGGCATTTATCATTATGTCGTGAACTTACTGTGGTCAAAACGGCAAAAGACCGTCCGGTTCTCAGTCTGGTTGGTTCAACCAGCTGACTTGGCAGCTGCCAAGGGGCAGGACCATGCTGAGGGCGCGACTGCAAGTGCCTGGCCGTGTTCTCCAGGATGGTGCAGAAACTCTGGGTGTCTATTTGTCATTTCATGAAGGGCAACAGCTATGCTGGGAACGAGACCACTTGTGACCAGCCTGTACCTTCCTTGTGGATGGACCTTGGGGAATGACAAATCATCCCCTGGATGCCAGTTTATTCATGAACTATGAGACGTAATTGTCACATGGGCCAGTGTGAAGAGCTGACTCCATGGGACCAGTGTCTTCTCCTCAAGGAAGACCCATATAGGATATCATGTGGTAATCAGAGGTGACTTGACGCGTGTGGTGTTAGATGAAACGAATGTCTAACCACATTGGGCTGAAGATGAGTTTCTTCGGCCTGGAAGAGGAACCACCTGGCCAGTGGGACTTGAATCCTTTGGCCTGTTTCTTTTGACAGTGCTTGGGTGGCCCCGCCAGCACTTGCCTCTGCGCTTGTTTTTCTGTCCCTGCCCATGTCTGATCATCCTTCTGAATAACCGACACAAGAACCTGAGGCTCTCTGTTGAGACTATGCAGTTAACGAGGCTCCATCAGGTTGTGCAGGCCTAGGAGCCACTCATCTCTGAAGATGACTTTAAGATAGTTCTTCCTGATCCTTCCTGCACTGACGTCCCAGTTTAACTCTCAGAAAGCCATCTTACTTCTCTTCCTCGCAAGTTCCTGTGGTCCCTCTCTGATGCCCCAAGTGCTGATAACAGGATTGAATGACAAAATCTATGAAAGTTGTCCTTCTGGTCCATAGAAGGGGCTCAGTCAATGCTAGTGCCCTGTTCTCCTTCCCTTTCATGCAGTACAACAGCTCTCAAGACCCCATGGGCCATAGCCCCGTGCTACACCACTGGGGTCACAAAATTAATGCAAAATAGAGTTCTACCCTTAAGGGGCTCAGAATATAGTGGTGAAAGGAGACATGGAAGTGAATAATAATGTTTTGTTGAGCATAATAACCTTATTGTTCCCGGGCCCACAAGCTGTCAGGATAAATGTGGCCTCACTGGTATCCATGCTGCTGTGCGGTAGACCTCACCTGTACACCTGCAGGGCCCTACCCCCGCAAAATCCTCCTGAAGATGTCCCAGAGCTCAGGGAGACTCGCAGAGAGGGGTGTTAGTGCCCATCCTTCACCCCCACCGTCTCCATCAACATTAATCCTCACCACCCCATCTTTTATTTGAATCACTGATTTTTTTAAGTCCCACCTAAAGTATAGGCAAAGCAACTTTAAGCCCCTCCCTGCTGCCCGCCCTCAACCCCCCCCCCCCTTGCTGGTACTAAGTCCTCCCTACATTGCGGTTTGGGAGCTTCCAATGATCCTAGATATTTCTGAGTTTCCCCCAAGGATATCGCAAATGTTTTCAGAAATGACTGTGGGCTTTCTGAGACCAACTCTTCTTCGGTCAGGCCAGACATGGGTGGGCAGCAGGTCCCCTGCCCCTCTGCCTCAGCGTCCTTGGTAGGAAAATACTGGCTTGGCCTGTCCTTGGTGCTGCTTCTCCCTGTGATGAGGTTTCAAGGTTCCAGATCTTTGTTTCCTTTAATTCTGAAAGAGGTTTCATGAAAACATCTCTTTAGGTTCTAACCTCTCTCCCCAGAAGAGCTCAAAAACATGTCCTTGGGCAGGCAGGGGACCCTGTTGTCGTTATCTAGTCTAGACTCCCCTCTCTCTGAGCTAGGTCCCAACCAAGATTTTCTCCCTCCTCTTTCAGCCTCCAAACCCACAAAGTCCTCATTCTTGTCTATTTATGCAAGTAGATGGTCAATGGTCACCAAGCCCACATGGATGCAAAGTTAGGCTTAGACACGGGGGCTGTAATAGAAAAATATGTACCACGTTCTACAGTAACAAGTGGTAGCATTATCATCAGCTCAGACTTCACCTTCTCTGTGAAGCTGCTCCTCAGATT